TTTATAATGCATTAGTTTCTTGTTGATCCACCGGTTCACATTTACAACTACGTGTATGCTGCATATGGGTAAAAAACAAACAGCAGAAGGGTTTATTGAAAATGCAAATTCATTCTATGCCAGCAGGTGGTGCTTTCGGAACGGCAGAAAAATTTACATTTACATTTACACTTTTTCATTTAGCAGACGTGTTTATCCAAAGCGACTTACAATTGAGGAATGCAACAAGCGATTCATCACAGGAAGTGCTCGTAATACAAAGTTTCAGACATTGTTCAGGGGTGCGTTTCCCAAAAGCATCTTTAGCCAACTATGGTCGCAAGTTCCGTCGTTACTACATAGTTCTACATAGTTACTACAGAGAGAAACTAGTTACTACATAGTTTCTCGAAACCATAGTTCAAACAAACATTTGCAAACAGCGTCACAAACTTACGTGGTAGAACTACAGCTCTCAACCTGTGGTTAGAAGCATAGTTTCTTGTTAGTAAGACATATGGACTTAAATAAATTATGCTTTTGGGCACAATAAGCAAGGAAACACACCCCAGGAACGGTGAATGAAAACTGTAAAAAATTGCTGTAAAAATACAGGGAATTTTCTACAGTAATGTACCGTTCTATGTAAAAACAGTTAAATACTGTAAATGATGATAACAAAATGTTAACAGCAAGCTACTATTCAGTCTTACGGTATAATACAGTATTTTTTTAGTCAGACGTGTGACGTTGTTGCTTGAGCCCACTCATAACTCATCTAAGCAAAACCACGACGCATCAACTCCCATCAACAGTCAAGAGGTGTGCACTCATGCAGGTTTAAAATTACTGATCTACAATATTTTATTAACGAAAGAAAGAAGAATAAGAAGCAGAATTAAAGACGATTTTTTGCCCCGCCTGTGAGCTGCCAGCATCGGTATGGCACATTCTACTTGATTTTCTACTCGCCGACTTAGGTAAGTGCGATTTTGATCAAAGTCATTGTTAGCCTGTGATATTATTTACACACTGTTATATCTTTTTGTTGAATGAAATTACCAATAACAATACAAATTTTTTTGTTCATATCCAGTGAACGATAAACAAATTAGCAAACTAAGTTAGCTAGCTTGTTCATTTGAGTTTAACTTTTGTTATTTTGCAATCTAATCAAATGTCCGTGGTATATGTGATCATACATTGATTTTTTTTTTTTTTTTGTAAAATCTTTATGATAGACTGGGCTTTATTTTACCATTTGTTGTGGGGTTAACTGAAATGTGCGCAAAAGTTATGTTAATAGTTATAATTATATGGTAATCATTTTATTATTCTGTCAGAGAGAACCTTAAAGATTCTCTGTGTTGGTCTAGTAAGATTATTTTGGTGTTACGGTGTGTAGGCTGATACCCATATTTCATACTGTTTCTGAACATTAACTATAATTGTTGTCTCCATCAGTTGCTGGTGACGAAGTCACAATTCGAGGTTGGATGATCAGTATTGAAAGCCTCAAAGCTTCATCATAGAGCTTGCTGCAGCTATTGACAGCTACTGTCTTCGACTTACAAAACTAAGAGAAAGCTACAAGGACATTGGAGTTTGTTCAAAAGTAAATATTGTTTGATTTTTTTTGCCCCTCTTCCCAGCTTTGTTCAGAAATTGTCATTGTCTCTTTTTACTTCCCACCCCACCTCTCTCTTTCTTTATTTCTCTCAAACAGAGTAGGACGCCAATTAATCTTTACTTGCCACATATTTCTCTATTATTACATTTTAGGCACTTCATTGGTGTGAACCACGAGAGGGAAACAAAGGCCAGCCAAGTGATGGTAGTGTCGAAGAAGACGGCAAGGTTTTACAAAAACCTTATGAACTTTGAGTGGGACAGTATTTAGTAAGATGAAGTCACAGGTTCTGCAACTAGATGTTCATGTCAAGTCATAGCATTGTGTTCTGTTCAGTCCAGTCTCACTGGTGAAGTGGAAACAGTGTCATTAATAATGCTTCAATAAAAGCCTAATGTTTTAAAGCTATCTCTTGTCTGAGCAATTTGTGTTCAAGTAATTTTAAGTTGTATTTAGTTTTAGAATGTAAATTTTAAATCATTAGCTTCTAGCAGTGTTACAATGTTAAGATCACATTCTACAGTACTTTAATACATTTTACAGTAATAAAGAGCTTATGAAATTACAGTTGGAATACTAAAATAACAGTGTAATGACAGTATTACACTGTAAAGTTTATATTTTCTACAGCATGGTACTGTAATATTTTTTACAGTAATAAACTGTTGTTGCAGATACAGTAGGTACACTGTAGAATAACAGCTTTATGCTGGCAAATGTAGCTGCCAGTAGTTTACTGTAATTTAACAGTGACATTTTTTTACAGTGTAGAAAGTGATTTTGTGCGTCTGTCATGGTACCACGAGGCGTCACTCACTTGTAGATCTCAGGCTTCTGGAGGGGATGTGGATTCGTAAGGGTGAGTGGAAGTAGGAGGGTGTTCTATATGCAAGCATCAATGTCTTGAACTTGATGCGAGCTGCAACCGGTCAGTGCAGAGAGCTAAAAAGAGGTGTGATGTGGGCCCTTTTGGGCTCGTTGAAGATCAGTTGTGCCGCTGCATTCTGAATCATTTGAAGAGGTTTGATTGTGCTTGATGGAAGTCCAGCCAGAAGAGCACTGCAGTATTCCAGCCTAGAAACGACAAGGGCCTGGACAAGAAGTTGTGCAGCATGCTCCGTTATGAAAGGCCTGATCTTTCTGATGTTGTGCAATGCAAACCTGCAAGATCGAGTGTTTTTTTCAATGAAGTCCATACTGCCAAATTTGGCAGTATGGACTTCAGCAGAGAAAGATGAAAGCAAAGAATGAAACATACTCAGGTCTGACGGATCTTTCGATTTATGACATTTTCTCTCTGCTGCTCTGGGTTTGGACCGATGTTAACAAAGAACCTCAGACAGCCAGGGGTTAGAAGGGGTAGCACATGCTGGCCTGGAGGAGAGAGGACATATATTGTCTAGATAAGAAGTTAAAGTGGAGCATAAATTGTCAGTTGCTGCATTCACATCCAGAGATGAGAAATGTGTGGGTGAGGGAAGAGAGGAAGACACTACAGAGGAAAGATGGGAGGGTGAAAGGGAGAGTAAGTTTTGCCTAAAAGTAACCAGTAGAGGGGTTGGTGTCACACAGGTAGCAGGATGTAGGTTAAATGTTATAAAGTAATGGTCAGAGATGTGTAGGGGTTTTACCAAAATGTTGTCTGCAATACAATTGCATGTGTAAATGAAGTCAAGCTGGTTGCCTGATTTGTGAGTGCTTGAGGTGATAAGCCGTTTGAAATCAAATGAAGCTTGGAGTCAATGGAAGTCTGCAGCATAAGGCTTCTCCAGATGGATGTTGAAGTCGCCAAAGACTACAAGTGGACTGCCATCCTCAGGGAATGAGGACAGCAGCCCATCCAGCTCTTCTATAAAGGTGCCCAGTTGACCAGGAGGGCGATAAATTACTTCAAAACGAGTTTTATAGGAGTTGTTACCATAATAGCATGAGATTCAAATGAGTTATTATTGCATAGGGGAGAGTGGGTTAAGTATTTCCAATTGTTAGAAATGAGAAGATCAGTACCCCCACCCCTCCCAACCTGACAGGGGGTGTGAGAGAAAGAGAAGTTGTTAGAGAGAGCAGCAGGGGTTGCTGAGTCTTCTGGACAAATCCAGGTCTCAGTCAAGCCCAAGATACAAAGAGTAGACTGAGAAGCAATTGCTGGATAAAATCTGCTTTGTTGACTGCTGACTGGCAATTCCAGAGACCCACAGAAAAAGAGAAAGGTGCAGTTGAAGAGGTGCAGATATGACGCTGGTTATCAAGATTGCGTTGCCATCTGCATTTGATGTTAGAGCATTGTTGAGAGACAACAGGAATGTATTGGAAACACATGATAGATGTGGAAAAGAGAGGGCAAAAAGGAGAGTGTGTAAAAGGGAAAATAAAAGATACTTAAGAGCCTTGTCAGTATCGTTGCTCGGTTGAGTCGCAGGTTTTTACCTGAGTCAGTCTTCACACAAGGAGGCTGAACACGAGGGCTGAATACTTGAAGCGTCAGCGCACAGATAACAAATGAATACATAGCTTATCCACTCTGGAGTGAAAACAGATGTGCACGCCTTCAGAATTAGTATTATAGCAGTTTCCCTGGTAACCGCAGTACACAAAGCAGCGCACCACCTGACTTTGAAACGTGCAGTGCTTGTATTTATTCAATGAAATCATAGCTTTTTTAAGTTTAATCTTCACATTAAGACATATCGCAATTCTTGTCTTTCTGTCCCCAAATTAAGAACCTCTTGAATTCATAATTAAGACTTTCCTGTACCATTTAAGACTTTTTATGGCCTTAAATTTTATACAGCTAAATTTAAGACTTTTTAAGGACCCGTGGAAACCCTGTATTACTCTTCATTTCATGACTGCTTTAACTTGTAATGAAAACTATTCATTCTAATGGGAAGAGCTAATGACAAATACATACACTTGATCAGTGTTTCCTAAACTTTTGTTTTAGAACGCCATCACTTAAGACCCAAGACCAACATCAAATCTGAAATGGCATCTTTTTAACTCACAATTTGCTAGATATTCTAAAAAAGAAAAGGAAATGTTCACCACAAAAAGATATGCAATTAACTACTCTAACCATTTGACATCCATAATAATTTTATTTTAAGACACAATTTCTGTTTTAATAAATTTAACAAAGCAAAACATAAATCTTTGAAAGTATCCCATGGAACCTGCTCAAAAGGATAGTTCATTCACTGGATAGATAATTTACTTATTACGTTGTTACAAATCAGTAGCCTATGACTTTCAAAAGAAGATTTTGGATAATGCTGGTAATCATTCGGTGACCACTGACTTCTATTGTACGGACAAAGAAAACACAGAGACATTTCTAAAAAAAATTTTTTTAAATATATATTTCCACAAAAGAAAGAAAGACATACGGGTTTGGAATAACATGAAAGTGAAAATTAAAATTTTTGGGTGAACAATCCCTATAAGTGTCCCTTTGGGTTCTGTTATTTTAAAACACTGCAAGTGCATACTGTTTGTTTACATTAATTTATGATTTATTATTTAAAAAGCAGCTTATGTCAAACAACAAGATTAGAACGATATTTAATTTAGACTTTTTCTATGTGGGCTCAGCACATAAAAATAATAGTATGGATAGATATTTTATAAAATAATTGCAAAACGTATTAGTACTGAACAATTTGTTAATATACTAATTGTACTTGCTTCACTGGCATATTGCTTGTTAGCACCTTAATGATGGTGTGTTTTTTTCCATCACAGCTTACATTTGTATTTTAACAGCCAGAGGCTTCTGCAGCTGCTGGCCATGCAAATCATGCACCTTCCATTCCATGTTATCCAGGACAGTGTAGTTGTAGGTCTTGTAATTGAGCATGTCTCGGGCACGGAACACCTTGTTGGATTCGTACAGGTTACTCCAATAGCGTGGGAGGGGTTTGAATCCCCCCAGGCGGGCGAGCTCATCATTGTAGGCCCACTGCTCAGAATCCAGTTTAAGGATATGGCGGGTGGCAATTCCACGGGCACGACGGGCAGTAATGTCCAGCTCAATGTCTTTCTCCATTTCCTCACGGGATGGCAGGCGGAAAGAACCATCCAACACTGACAGGATAAACTGAGACTGGGAAAAAAGTGAGGAAACAATTTGAAGATGTAACAAAGAGGTAAGGGAAATTTGAGAAATACCTCAGTGACACGTATTCCCTTAAACAAAATATCCTTCGCTTTAAAGGTTCAGCAGTACGATAATCGTGACTGTGCATCAGTGTCCCTAAAAAAAGACATACATTTGGACAAAATACAATATTGTATAGAATATAGAATAACTAGAAATATATAAATCCCACAAGCTACTCAAACTTGCATCATCACCAAAAATATTTATTAATAAGCAATGTTTTGGTCAATCAACCTTCTTCAAGCTTCCCCTTAAGCCTGATGAATGTGGATTGACTAATACATGCTTTATATATTTTCTAGTACATATTATACTTTCATCATACGTACTGCGATAATAACGCGTTAACTTGCACATCCCTAACTAATAACAACAATTTCTAAAACTGCAACTCTAAAGTAAGCATGCATTATGTGTACATAAAATGCATTCATAAATTATAATACATAACACTTATTTTATTTACTGTGATACGAAAAAGCCTTGCACTTTTTGAAATGGATAACAAAGACTCCAGTCTCAACATCGTAAGAAACAGAAAGGTCTAACTTTTAATTAACCTACTGATAAATGTTAAGTAATATAATGACTAACTAAAACCAGGTCTCTTTTCCAACCAAAGCCACGGTTCGATCTGAAGCATTTCTCAGTAGACCCTCACATGTTGTTGCAACAGCAAAGAACGCTTAGGAAATTTGCATGTTGTTGTAAAGTTTTTGTGTCTCTAATGCCGAGTTCACACTGCACAATTTTTAAAGACGTCGCATCACTGTTGGTTTCACACTGAATGACTATCTGAGGTAGCATTCAGTTGTTGCTGTGTTCACACTGCACGATGGAACGACGACAGGAGGTTACACACTGCATGACTTTACAATAGGAAGAATCGCCAACAGCTCACACATTTTTTGGCGGGGTTCTCCTGGTACAATTCACATTCCAGGGCCTAAATATCACGTTATTGGGGTCGCTCCAACCTGCTGACATGAAAAACAACCAGCGGCAATCGCGGATTTGGCAACACTGGTCTGCAAACTACGTTTCATATAACTCCTCCCCGAACTTCCCGCTGCCCTGTATCTTGGTCTCTCATTGGCTGTAGGTCATCGCTGATGTGTTTTTCAGTCATAACTCATTTCACACAGCGTGATTTTGAATCGCCGACAGCTCCAAATATTTAGCATGCCAAATATTTCACGGGCGTCGGCGACGCATCGGCGATTCCCTCAGATCGCGTCTTTGATAATTCACACTGCGTGATTGTCACTCGCCTGAACGAGCACCGATTTGTCTCCGATTTCGGGCATTTGTTGGCGATTTCGCAAAACCTGTCGGCGAGTGAAAAATCGGGCTAAAATCGTGCAGTGTGAACTCGGCATAAGCTGCACCCTCAAAGCAGTGCCACACCCCCCTTAGCCTGTTCAGTTCCCTGTTAGCCCCAAGCTCCACCCACCCAATCTCAAGCCAATTAGAGCTATCTCACAGACTTTATTGCCTGCACCTGTGTCCACAGCCTAGGTTTTTTGTTGCATGTGGTTGTACTGTGCAGAGGATTGAGTTTTACTCCTTTAATTCTGTTTTTCCTGCATGTGCGTAATTGACCATGTAAGTGCCTTTGTTTGATGCTTAAATATTATTTTGTATGACTTAAGTTTGGCCTAAATGTGTTTATTTTTCATGCTTGCTCTAGTTCCCATTTAGGCATGTGCTTTAGTTATTTAATGTGTAGTTGATGGAACATTGTGGTTGCCTTGTACCTTTTATTTAGCACTGTTTATTGGTAAACTAAAACTCTGTATATCTGTTCCCTTTATAGAAACCACACGCACACCTACATGCACAAAAACTCCTTGGATGTACAATACTTTCCTATACCTGGTTTGACTAGACTGGACCTGTTCTTACCGACAGCCTCACTGGCTTCAAGCTAGCTACCTAAACATCTGCCACCTCCTTCGCATGTTCCTCTTTTTCACAAGTCTAAGCACATTTCAAAGGTATTTTGCTGCCAAGTACACAGGTACTTGGTTTTAAAGATGTCAGATTCCTTTGATTTACTTTGCAAAGTAAAAACGTTTTATATAATGTAAGGAAGGGACAACCTTTGAATTTTTCCAGTCCAGGTATTGCAGGGATGTAGGGGTCATAGAAATGTCTGGAATAAACACACATAATTTTATTTAAGACTCAATTTGTATTCAATTTTTTTTTCACCTGATTATATCATCAAATCGTACACTGGAAAACTGGCACAGTATATAAGTGAAAGTGCAATACGGTTTCATTGCATCATTAGTTACTGTTTAATCCACTACACCCAATGGCCTTATTGATCTAGGCATGTACATTTTAACTATAGGTGCACATAGGAAGGTTTTACAGAGAATGTTTCACTCATTTTGCTGTACACTTACCCATTGCACACCATAACAGCATCAAATCGCTCTGTAGTGGATTTGCTGTGGTCTACACCATTGTTGGAGTTCACATTCCAAGCCAACCCATTCCACCCATCCTTCACATCTACTGGGGTCACTGAAGCCACTGAGGTGCCAAACTTGTTGGAAGAGAGAAATTGGTTGGAATTGATACACCCAAAAAGAAAGACTATTGCCTTATATAGTGGTTGTCTTATTGTTTGTGGGTTTTTTTTTTTTTTTTTTTTTACACTGACTGATGGTTTTCAAGCAAATTTATGCATCAGCAACATTCAGTCCTTACAGGCGACCATTAATTCTCTAGTAGTTTTCCACAATCCCACAGACTGATCATAAATGTACAGATAAGGTATGTGATTTCTAACAGGTTAGTCACTTTTACTGACTCGTCATAAATGGTGAAATTAATGATTATCTGACAAAACTATGCAATGAGCATGAATTTACCAGATATGTTGAACATGAACAAAGAGGTGTGAGTATTTTAAAAACATAAGAACTGGGCTACAAATATTTTCCTTTTTCACCTGTATGTGGTCCCACAGGTGAAAATGATCACAGTACTGCTTAAGGTACTTCCGTACCTCGGTGTGATGGACAAAAGAGGGGAGATGTTTTGCAAAAGGAAAGTCAGGGAAAGACATCACCTCTTTGGGGATATTGGTTCTAGCATGTGAGAAGAATACATGGCAAAACTTTATAAAGCCACAATACTGCGTTATCACAGGCTACTGATATTTCAAGAAGACTTTAAAAAGAGGATATTAAGTAAAAATAAAATAAAAGTTGATTTGCATTACATTTCAGTAAGTAACAATCTTTGTCACATGGCATGATGGGTATACACTGATTGATACTTAATATTTAATTAATAATTTGAAATGTTAAGTTCCTAAGGGACATCAATTCATATCTCTTGCGATATTTATGCAGTATAATAAATAAAGTATTTCAGTTACATTAGTACCATAAAAACACTTATAAATTCACCTGAGGTCCCTGTACATGCTGCTGTGAATCGGTAAGCCACTGTCGTAATATCCCACTCTTTCCTCATAGACCCACGTTCCTCCAATATTCTTGCTGAGCTCGTACACTACAGGTGGCGCGAAGGTGTCCGGGCGGGAGAGAAGGTGGCGGGCCGCGCAGAGTCCTGCAGCACCGGCTCCGATAACAGCAACGCGCAGCTTCCCCAAGCCGGACATCTTTATGCAAAATGCGGGTATGAGCTAGGAAGTTGACACCTGACAAAACAGATGCAAAACCGCAGATATTGTTTCCCTGAAAATGGAAAAACTTGTTCAGATCACAAGTATATTTCCATTCTGCTTACTGTATTTCGAGCTGGTATCTATCTGTCCTCGGGTGACCAGTACAGGGGTCTGTCAGTCTCTCAAAGCGAATGTGAATGCTCGTCTAATTATATCGAAGACGTGTTGGAATATGTCCAGCTACCCCGGCAGCTCAATCAACTTAACCCTTCGTGTTTTGAAGTCACGTTTTTATTGCAAATTGACGGAAAACAATAAAGTAAAACAACATGTCTGTATTTTAAAATTTGCGTTATATTTTTAATGAAGTAAAAATAATTCACACGAACATGTGGGGAATAATTGTTCGTCTTCCTCATGTACATGCATGGGTTTTCATAATAGCACTTTATAAACAGCTCAACGTTAGACAACGTTCTATCTGCACTTTCACTCGTACATCAGTAATTACAATAATTGTTTAAGTGTAAATATCAATTGCAGTGTGCTTGAGAATATCTACAATTGCTAGTCTCGTTAAACCAGACCTGACAGAAGCAGGACCGCCCAAGAGGCCATGGCTGCGTCTGAAAACCTAGACTTGCTGCCCTATCAGGCAATGACTTTGCAGGCAGCGTTTTTGCACGAAGGCACCGCTTCTGAGGCAGTGTAACGGTTTAATGATCTACAACAAAATAGAACGAGTTTTGGTGATAACTAAACGAATATTTAATTACTATAATACTGATTTCTCCCTAGAACTAACATCATAGTGCAAAAAGTTAGTCAGAAATATACATTCGCACACAAACTGACCACCAAACGCAACTTTCAGACACAATCTTAATTTTTTTGTTCAACCATCACGGAATGGAACGCACAGGATTGTGGGATATCAAAGGCAGCGAAAGATACATCTATGCTGCCTTCGACCAGATGAAGTTATCTCATGAGACAGAAAGTGAAGCCAATTTTGGATTCGGACTAGTCTCGCGTACCCGCCAGCGATCGGACAGCCTAACCCAGAGGTGTCCAAACTTTTCCTAAAGGGGGCCGGATTCGGCGATGTGGAAACACTGGGGGGGCCGGATGATTCTACCTACCTATA